GCCATCGACGCCATGAGCTGGCGCCCGTTATCTGCACCACCCCGCGCCTCCTCTCCACTCACTCCCGCCTGCTCTCTCGCTCTCCCGTGCTCGCCCTTCCTCTCGCCGCGGAAGAGCACAGCGCCGTCGAGCATCGCACCACCTCCGCCGTCGCCTCGCGTGAGATCCACCGCACTGCCACCGCCTCCGTCTAGCCCAAAGCTCCGCCTCACTCTGCTCTACCGTTCCCACCTTGCAGCGCCCGCAGTCGCGCCTTTGGTAAGCTGCTTTTCATGTTGAACCATCGCGGGTACGTCTTCGCCGGAGCTCCGCCATGGCCGCTGCCGTGGCCATGCTTCGTCGGAGCACCTCCAGCCGCCTAGGTCGCCTAGATGTAGTCGCATAGTCACCGTGATTCTATAGCGCGCCTCGCCTGGCTTCGCCATGGCCGGTGATGGCCGACGCACCGTAGAGCAGCGCCGCCGTGCCACCATGGCCGACGACGAGCACGCTCCGCCACGCCTTCACCGCCACCACCTAGTTCACCCGACGCGGTTTGCTCTGTAGATCACGGAGGAGCACTTGCCTTCGCCGGAGGACTCGCCGGCGATGAGCTGTGGCCGACCAGCGTCGATTCAGCGCCGCTGCCCTGTTTTTGTTTCACTGACCGATGGGGTCAACTGACAGCGGGTCCCAGTTGTCATTGATTATTGTGTTGTAGGATAGTTCATTTATTTCCTGTTTTGTGTGCAACTAAAAAAATGATAAGTGGAGCTGTGTAGATCCAAAAATGGTGAAATAAATTTTGTTGTGATCCTCATGACTAGGTATAGGGTTTAAAAATATTGCATGTCAGTTTGATGACACTTTTCTATGGAGTTTTATTTAATCATTGAAATTGCTATTTTCTTGAGAAAGGTATAATAAATCATAGAAAGATCAGAAAAATATGATTTCAAGTTTGTTACTCTTATTGTGTAATGTACTTTCTAGGAAAAATATATTCCATGCATGTCCTGTAGAAAAATTGTGAGGTGTAGTTCAAGTGCCTTTAATGGCTGATTTTTGTTATTTTTGCTAGAGAGCAAAATTTATATAAAACATGCATGTGATAATTTTTGTATAGTGATTATTTACTATTTAAAACATAGGAAAAATATTAAATCTGTTGTTTGACACTTTTCATAATACAAAGTATTTTCATGCTCATATTTAGGTCCAAGCTTGTCATTTTTGGGTAGGCTATTCCACTTATCCAAATGCCATAAAAATTTGATGGTAGACTACTTAGGGTAGTACTGTGCTATGTTAATTTTCTAAGATTTTTCTATGCTATAAAAATAGATGTTGCTATTCAAACATATTATTAATTAGGGTTTAATCAAATGTTGCTTTATGCATGATTAAGAAATTAGTGAAGCTTTGGTGTATCTTTGAAGCATTCAATGAGATGTGTTGACTTAGCATATTAGTAGTAGAAGAGAATGCAGTAGATGACATGTGCTTGTAGTATATGTTTTTGGATGATGTTGACTACCTTGTATGAGATTTGTATTATACTCTCCCCATTAAAACGAATCATGCTCATCTACCTTGCATGCAAGCATATTCATTGTGTTCATTTTATCCGATGCACCTTTTGCATAAGCACTTACGCACCGCATCATACAGAATTGCAAACCGAGAGCCCGGTCGTCGTACCCGAGGAGCCCGAGGAACAGCTCAAGGTGCAGCCGCAAGAAGTGACCGGAGCAGACGAGGAGGATGTTGAGGAACTTCCGGAGTGCCCCGATCACCGTCCGAGCTCCTTCGAGAGAGGCAAGCCCCAGAGCATTTTCCTCCCCGGTTTGCGATTATTAATTAATGCTTTACTTTAATTGATGCATTACGTTTAGGAGTTGTTTGCAACCGTTGCTGCATTATACCTTGTCTACCTTTGTTATACTATATCCTTGTTACCCTGGTATCCGTAGTCGAGTCAATGCTTAGCTGGCTTAGACCGATAGAAGTCGGGTGATTTTCTGTCACCTGCGAGCTATAGGTGGTTACCTGGATCTGCTTGGATCACTATGTAGTCTTGGTATAACTAAGTGTTAATTTGAAGTTGAGACCGGACGGAGACTTACAGAGTTTTGGCTGTAGTGCTTTCCGTCTGTGTCGATTAAGGACCGACCGTTGTTGGGCCTCAGGTCATGTTGAACGCATGCCTTATATTTAGCTGGCCGAATAAAGTACCTTTCGACCGCGAAGCTGGGAGATTATTCAGGCCGAGTAGATTGCCCGTAGCGCACTGTACCGGAGCAGGTGTGGTAGGACACGGGGGTGCGATGATAAGACCGAAAGGCAGTCGGTCGGCCCCCGGGTACATGTGGTTCCCGGCAAACTCGAGATTTTTCCTAGATAGTTGACTTGATGACCGACACCTCACTTTTGTGGGTGAGTGAGGTTTGTGTAAGGAATAAATTACCAGCTAGTTAATAATCGATTCGAATCGCCATCGTTCACTGGATAGTGAACACTTGACTTGAGTTACTTCATCGTAGTAATGTTGATTGAACACTTGGACAGTTATAATGAATATGACATTATGGAAGTTGTTAATGATCATTGGTTATCATTATTTGCTTAATCACATGCTTGCTCTAGTATAGGTGCAAATGTAGTCGACAGGTTAATAATATTTAACTTGACAGTAATGCTTTTGGAAAGGTTCTTGAAATGCTAAAAATGCCTTTTTGTAAATGAGTCAGCTACCCTACTATAAAGCCCTTCATAATCCTTTGTGTCACTTTATTTTCGGTTATGTCGGGTAAGTCTAGCTGAGTACCTTCTCGTACTCAGGGTTTTGTTCCCACTTATTGCAGATGGGCAAATGTATTACGGCTATTGTATCAACTGCCTTTATCCTGCGATGGGTGATGCTTAGGACCATAGGCATGGTCATTCCTTAAGTCTTGTCTAATGCTTTTGTTGGAGATGATTATTAGCTGGCACTGTATTTGAACTCCGTGTGAGTGTGTGTGGTTTTGAACAAATGGCTTCCGCTACTTCTATTTGAACTCATTTTGTAATAACTATGTTTAAACTCTGATGTACCTGTGATGCGAACTTTTATGTAATATGTGATGGTGACCGCTAAACTTATTACGATCTTGGCTGATATGTGAGTTGGTTTGAAATCCTTCGTGATTTCACGGACTATCGGGTTATACGGGCTTAAGTTTGCTAAATCGTCTGCTCTGGTGGGTGATTTTCTTACTTAGTTTAGTATAATTGGTCGGTTCTGTTACAAGTACCATTTTCCAAAAAAATTCACCAACTAAACAAGGCCTTGACCAATCATCTAGTGAGGTTGTGCTTAATTTTGCATTGAATGATCAAGTTATTAAAGTTATCTCTGATGATGTTATGCTTAACTTTGTATCGAATGATCAAGTTATTAAAGTTGTTTGGGTTATACGACCCTAGTGACAACAGAACACGGGAGGGGCGGCTGCAATCCAGGTGGCGGACGTACGACCCGAGTGGCGACAGGAGGGGCGGCCGTACCACCCTAGTGGAGGCGATGCCAGCGAGGCAGACCAGGCGATGATGGAGCCGAAGACGTGACAACCGTGAGGAATTCATCAACTATTAAAAAACGGGAATAGTTAGCGCCTAATGTTTGGCGCTAGGACGAATCGGGACGTAGCTCCCAGCCTGTGATTTCACCCTTCCGATGAAACCGGAACGCAACAGAAAATAATTCGAGCAAGTGCGTTTGTCCCCGCGCAATGGAACCGAGCGCGTGCGTCACTCACGGTGGCCCGTCCCCGCTGCGTTGGCATCCCCCATTGCGCTCCGTCCCCACCGCGCCCTTGAAACATGCGTTTAAAATACTTGCAAAAACACCTGAAGACACTTGCAAAACATACGCAACATACAGAGAAGATACTCGCAACATGTGTGAAACATATGTAACATCATGAAACATTGGGAACAGACGCTTTGCAACATACCTCTGAAACACTTGCAACATATGCAACATCCAGATGAAATACTTGCAACATCCAGATGACATATCTGAAATACTTGAAACATACGCTTGCAACATGCACTTTCAGCACAATGTCACCTTACTGCTTGGATGAATGTACGCTCGTCGTTGCGGAGCTCAACGCCGGCGCGGAGGTCGGCGGCAGCACATGGAGCTCACCGGTGCAGCAACGGCATGGCTCTCCTGCGATTCTCCAAAGCCTGCTCGTGGCCTAGGCTCGCACCCATGGGCGGCGGGCGTGTTGCTGCTACTCCAACGCCGCTGCTCGCTCGGGCTCAGTCGTCTAGCACCGTTCGCTCACGAGGGATGGAGCGTGACGTGGCCAGCCATGGGGTGCGGCGTGGTGGGGGGAAGGTCACGACACGAATGGGGATAGGGCGTGGTTGGGGAAGGGGCCGCGGCGGGGTGGATGGATGAGAAGCCAAGCCACGATGGTGGGGATTTATTTTTGAGAGGCCGGTCCGCTGCGGACTGGGAAATGGACGGCGGTGGCTGAGCATTCCCGTTAAAAACCTGTATATCGTTTAACTACGATTAAATCGCGCGCCGAAATTAGCAGTAGCAAAGCTATGTTCCCGCGCAGAAGAAGTCGAGATTGAACTCTATCACGTCTTCTTGTTGTTGCGATTCATTTACAAAGGGCTAGCAGCTTCTGCCAGCAGACTTTATCCATTTTATTGTTCAATTTTACCAGTAATTTGAATAGATTAGGTTCCAGTTCTTGTTGGGTCCTAACATTAGTGTCTTATTATGCATACGGAACATAGTTTTTAAACTTATTAAGCAGAACAAATATGCCAATAAAGGGAAGGGGGTTGTGCACTGAGCAACAGCCATCGAGAAGGTACAAGCTTGGAATCACACCAAAATGTCAAAGACTACCAAATATGCTCACAAAAAAAGAGGACGACACCTTGGGTGAATGTGCATGTGTTCCGTTCCGCCATTGGATCTTAGCAACGTCTACAGCTTGTTGCAACAGCATCTAGCGTCTCTTGAAGTTGAAGGTAACATGGAGGGCATACCGCATTTTTATCTGATCTACATTATACACTATGTAGTCGTTGTAACGCAAGCAAGCCTGCAACCAGACAACAATGTTTTTCACATGTACTAGCAAATAAAGTGTTTGAGCCCCACACGGGACTTGCATTTGAAAAACAATGCAATTTTGTGAAGATGCTGCGTAGAAGCGCACGTACCGTTTTGGACGATTCGTGTTTAGTAGGTTTCCCAAGTGGAACAAGCACACCATCATCGGTGGTCCTAGACTTTGTTAGGTCAGGTGTCATTTGACCAACTCTTTTTGTGCGGCACCAAAGACAATCACAACCAAGAAAGTGAGCCTAGCTCAACAGGCCAGATGAGAGATGTGGTCGTGGACCCAATCGCTCAGGTTCAAGTCCCCTCTTGGCTAATTTGAGTGCCTATTTTCTTTATTTCCTCTTCTTAATAAAAAACCGTCTAGTTCTTCCTAAGTTGGATGTTGTTTTAGACAATCGCAACCAGATGTTTGTTCACTCCCTCCATTTCTTTTGATTTTATAGGGTCTACTAGGATTTGAGAAAGCGTATACCTTAATACACTCCCTCTGTCTCAAAAAAAAAATTCTCACCTTTCGAGAAATTAAACAAATTCAAGTTCGACCAAATTTATACAATAAAAACTAATATTTATGATGCCAAGTAAGTATGATTATATTATTAATTATAAAATATATTTTCATAATGACATACTAAATATTGATACTATCTATTATAAATTTATCAAACTTAAAAAAGTTTGACTTATCCCAAACCTACAATTGCATTTTTTTAGGACGGAAGGAGTTAATATATGGGGGTGTTTGGTTCTTTAGTTGCTCCTAAAATTCATGTCACATCGAATGTTTAGATACTAACAAGGAGCATTAAATATAAATTAATTATAAAACCAATTACATAGATGAAGGCTAATTTACGAGATGATTTTTTAAGCCTAATTAATCTGTCATTAGCACATGTTTACTATAGCACCACGTTGTCAAATCATGGACTAATTAGGCTTAAAAAATTCGTCTCGCAAATTAGTCGCGAGTTGTGCAATTAGTTTCGTAATTAGTCTATATTTAATACTCTATGCATATGTTAAACATTCGATGTGACAGGAATTTTAGGAGTGCCAAAAAAAAACCAAACAGGGCCTACATACATACATATATATATATATATATATATATATATATATATATATATATATATATATATATATATATTATGAAACACTACAAACTGACGTGTTACTAAAACGCATGCAAATTACAAATATAATTAATTAATGATGCGTCTTTTGTGCATTAGTCATATATATATATATTGACTATTGATCGATGGTAAAAAACTAACAATATTTGTCTTTTTTAAATTCTAACTAGTGCTCCCTATATTTTGAAATGGAGGGAGTAGTAAATGCAATAATTTCATCTAAGAGTGTCCGATTAATGATTATTTTATTATGCAATGTTACAAGGGAGCAGATGAGAGCGGCTAGTGTGGTCTCAATTCACACTGTATCTGTGGACTTAATGGAGCATCAAAATTCTGTCCCAGTCTTGAATTATTATATGTATGTATTGAATTTACATCAGGAATTGGCATCAAGAAACAAAAATACTAGACCATTTAGGAAAAAATAGTGCTATAATTAAAAGATACTGTATCAGTAATTGACCTTAGCTTTCCATTGGGTAGGTTATTAGCATTGTAATCTCCATTTAGTAGCTCATTCATATCGCCCAATGCAACCTGAGAGATTAAATAGGCATTATCAACACAGTTGAACTTTGCAAACAAAATAATTGGGCACAACTCTATATGACAAAGGAGTGCGCGAAGAGACCAACAGATCACAATCTGAGGTTGATAAACATGCATATAGCTCAGAGGTAACTATGACAAAAATCAGACCTCACATAGAAGCAGGACTCCAGATCTAGATGATTTCGAAGCGCAGCAGTAGTTTGCACTCTTTGAAAACATATCAGCAAAGTGAACACCCTTGCCGAACATGTAACCATTAACAGGTGCTTCAGGGGGAGCAATTCGCAGACCTGGAGGGTAGTAGTGCCACCAGAATCAGCATTCACCAATACAGTGTCCAACTTTTGAAGAGCGTAAGGTATAGCACATCTGAATTTGGCTTTTTATAGGAATCTATAACTTTCTCAACTTACCACACTAACAAAAAATTGAATGTGAATAGGTTACTACTGTGAAGTAAAGCAGCAGGCAAATTCACATGAAAATGAAACAAAAACTCATGCAGATAGAGATAACATTGATATTTCTACAAATGCACTGATAATAACATGACTTTTTTAGAACTGCGGGTCAAGTAAATAGTACTCCCTCGGTTTCAAATTATAAGACATTTTTGCTTTTTTAGATGCGTTGTTTTAACTATGTATCTAGAAAAGGCAAAACGTCTTATAATTTGGAACTGAGAGAATAGGCAATAACCCATGAATTAGAAATCCAAGTAAAGCCATCTGTTATATGAGTAGTAATAATAGAAGTAGTTGAAGATAACACGAATTACCCTGAGAAAGGATCCCCGCCCAGTTGCTCAACCGAGAACCATGCCACAAAAGCATCCTATTTCCTGTACTAGCAAACTGCACAAAAGTTTTGAAAAACTGTCATTTGATACTACAGTCTGTTCTTTTAGGTTGTGCAGATAGATTAGAAATATCCTCACCTTTTGAAACCGCTGTGTTTCACCATGCCGTGACATCTTAAATATTTGCACAATGTCCACAGTATAGCCCGAGTGTGTTTCTTTATGGGTGTTCATCAAATATGTTTTTATCTGGTTAGCAGATATTTTTGGAATAATCAGAAACCTTTGAGACAATCAATTTACTAAAGATACGGGATGACAAGGATAAAACACATTCCACCAATTCCTTGTAAATTTGGTGCTCATAAAAATTGACATTTGTTTATATTAGCTAGAAACGTAAAAGTAATTCCCTTTTGCAGAAGGTTACAAAACACAATTATGAATTACTATCATTATGCACTGAACTACAGACGGTGAACGTCCACACAATTTATAATGATAGTTGGCGGAAAATTACCATAGAGTATTCTTCTGAATCAGCTTCAAGAGGTGTGAAGTCACAACGAAGTTGCTTGTATCGAGCATATAGCGGATCATCCTACATTTCAAGGCATGTTACGATTATGTTCCAACATACCTTCAACTAAAAGCAACAAGTGAGAATTTCATTTCAGAATTATAGTACATTTTGCAAAATTTTGGCATAACTCTCGGAATAAAGCAACTTTTTTGGTTTGAATTCAAATAAGTTCCACATCTGTTGACTTTATGCAGGAGAGAATAGTGACAATAGTCGCATTAAGCAGAACAAAGCAAATGTTACAAGACACCCAAAACACCTCCCTCCCTATCTCTCCCTTGCTGTTTATTATAGTTAAAGGTTACCGGGAGATTGGTATCTCTGTTTCGTGCATAAAAATTTGACCGATTATGTAAGTGACATACCTGGTCACTTGAATCATCCTCTAAAAGCTTGGTTGCAATCTCAATCTCACCTAGTGCTTCAACCTAGAAAATTGTAACATAACAATGTGAGTAGATTCTGCACAAATATGGATCATAAGCGACACTATACAGTGCAGGAAATACTTCAGTCATATGTTGCATACATAAAAATAGGTGACATGACTGAATTTCTCTTAAAGAGCAATGTGAATATGAAACTTCAGTTCATTCGGCCATTCTAATTGAGCACAAATAAGAAACACAGGTAGTTTTATATCATTACACAAGACGGCTCTAGAAATTATGACTTAACATAATTTAGGATATTGATACACTAATGAATCAAAGAGTGTCTTGCTTCAAAATAATCACGTTTTCATACCCAAATTAGTGTCATGCTAGAAATAAGTAGAATACAGTAGTTTATTACCATTTCCAGCTTAGCTTTTAGTTTCTGAGAAGTGTCGATAATAAATTCACCTGTAAGATGGTATTTGTTGGAAGGTCAAGTGCTAATAAACTAAAAGAAAACCCAACAGATCTGGATATAAATATGATATATCATTATGTAACTTCACTAAGCTAGAAAGTTCGAGACTAACTCATCTTTCTGAAACCAAAGTCATGTGGAATCACGGTGTAGAATTCCCTAAAACCAGACAACATAAGGAAATTAAATTTCAATAAATATACAATAGCCATAACATTTCATGAACATAAATTTGTACTGCAATATAAGCAGAATGTAACTATTAAAATAGTTGATATCTTGAGATTGGCAATCGTTATCATTACAATCCAAAAGCCATAAGTGCAAAAGAAACTCTTTGGTTTTTGTCAGTGACGGAACCAGGGGGGGCCAGCAGGGGCCATGCCCCCCCCAATGCAATGATTTTTTTTAATATCCCTATAAATAGTTCAATTTACAGCACATCTATTTTTTATCATAATATTGTGATTTTTCGTTATGAATACCAACTACATATGTAAAAATATTTAAAAAGTTATTGAGACATACACTTATGTATATATTTATCACACTTTGAGGTGTCATCATATTTGTCCGGCCCCCTTAATCAAAATTGCTGGTTCCGCCACTAGTTTTTGCCATTGATATTCTGAAAGTGTTACTGACTTCTATTAAACAATGCCCATAATGTCATAAGTTAATGTGTAATAAGCACTCCACAACATCTGAAGAATGAAATGTTAAATTTCAGGCAATATAAACAATAAAAGGTATGGTGAAAAAACTAAATATGTTGAATAGAATGTCAACCTGGCATTAGATTGTAGTCATATTTTATACTTCTACCAAATATAAAAGAAACTTATAGGTTATACCCAGTCAATTGCTCAAGCTGTCCCTTGTCTGCCATTGAAATAACATTGGATATCCTTTTCAGGACATCATACCCCTGTGGAAAGTTAGGAAATATTATCATCAAAACAGAGGGAAAATATTAGAAGAATGCCTAAAATTTTATTGCATACAATGCTGAAAGTTCATTTCCCAAAACTATTGATGTGTATGGTATATGTAAGGTTATTTGAATGTAATTTCGAAAATACAACTTTATTCAAGCTTGTATGGTTAAGTGAAAGTCGTACAAGTCCTGATTAAAAACATCAACATAACTCACCTTCAGTATTGTAGATTTGCTTAGCTTTCCAAGGGGAAGTTTATCGGCATTATAACCTAGTTGATTAATAAGGAAGATGAATTAGAAAATGCTGATTCAACATGAATATTCTTATCAAGTTTCATCAACATAATCAAATACAAACTTGGACAAGATAGAGCTTATGATAATTGCGAAAAGGCCTCTAGCTGAGTTGGTTAGCTCACTTTAGTAGCACTTCTTAAGTCCTAGGTTCGACTTTCCGTGGGGGAGCATTTTTGACTGAGGTTAAAAAATCTCCTCGTTTGTCCTACGCCAAAGCACATGTCTAAGGTCTGGCACCGATCGTGGTCATTCTCACATGAGCTATGATGGTGCCGCTGTGTATGGGTGAGGCAAGTTTTCTCGACCTACGTGAGAAGGCCTTCTTGGAAAAATGCCTGGGGTTGTTTTATTCCCACAGGTTGAGTTTTTTTAGAGCTTATGATTATTTCTTTTTTCCTGTTCAACTCCATTATTTGAACGGATGACAGATAACTATTTCTCCTGCCTTATTTTACTCTCAGTTTTTTTTTTCCTGAAATTTAAGTGTAACAGTGTGTAACGACAAAGGGATAACTATTCAGAACAATGACAAAGGGCCTAATTTTCTCATTATCTTAGTGGATTGAAATACCAAAATGATTGCATCTTCAATGGTGCAAGACTGAGGGTCAGGGTGGGTCCTACAAGCCAATGCAAATGAGTGCATTCTATGGTGCTCGGCTGGAGCAAGAGGGCTCCAAGAGCTACAAATAATTGCAAATGAGTGCTCTCCATGGTGCTCGTCTAGAGAAAGAGGACTCCAAGAACTGCTGTTCAGGGCGCTGCAAACAGCTGAACCTATCCCTGGGTAGTTTCTTTCTGGTTGCCTTTATATCTCCGGCTGTAACTAGTGTGTTACTGTAATTGGTATGTGCGCGCACGCGCGCTGGCGTGTGTTGTGACTGTGAGGTTGGGGTTTCTTTTTCCCCAACACATACTCTTTCTTTCTTAATGAAATGATGCCTAGCTCTCCTGTTTGTTTGAGGAAAAAGAACTATCTATATCTATTTCAAAACTTTCCATCACCTGGATATGGAAGTCAAAATGCAGCCACAAGCCTAAGGTATTCTCAGGGAGTCAGGGTCCTCTAATAATGGATTGATTGAATACTAAAAACATTCACAAAAGGAAGAACCATAAGATCAGAGGAAACAACTATAACTGCATTCACATCACAACTGAAGAAACTGCCCTGGATCATTTCTTTGGATGCAAGTTCAGTAAAGCAAGTTGGCAAATCACTTGGGGATCTGTCCGTTCATTTCTTTGACATGGTGGATCAATCAAAACAAAATTTCCAACAATCCATGGAAATTTTCATCATGGCACCTTGGGATATTTGGAAGCAAAACAGTGGTTACATATTTGATAATGAGCAGTCCATTTTATTTTCTTGGAAGAACGGCTTCTCTGATGATGTGCTCCTTCAGACCCATAGAATGGGAGATACTTCTAAAATTTTAGTCATGGCTTGGCTAGATAGTCTCGCCTAATTGTTCTTTCTATCTATACAACACCTAGCTTTCTATTTTCTTCGGCTAGTTTTTGTACAGTTTTTCATGTATTATATAATAAATATAGCTACCACAGTTAGGGTCTCCCTTATTGTCGCACAAAAAAAAGGTGTCCACACATCACTAAAGATTTTGTGGCTGTGTTCATTTTTCGAGAACATGTCCGTTGACACGTTATTTCATTAAGAGGGTGGCAGTGTTCATCATAGTATATGAAGAAAGCTAGTAGTTGCAGATATAAAAGCTTATAATATGAATTATGATCTTAAAACCTGTGCATAGAACAACTACACAACAACTTACCTATTTCCACCATTTGGTGCTTCATCATGCTAATATCGCAAATCAGGGATATGAATTGTGCAGTTCGAATTTCTAGCTGTGTCTCTTTTATCCGATCAGTCATGGAGCCTTTCTTCTCAGTCTTGTTCTAGGAAAAATAATAAGAACAAATGATTAAGCCCAGAAAAGGCACTAAACTGAAAACCAGTTGTAAATAAAAGCTTACTGTTTCCTTCTCAGTTTCACCGTAGTCCGTTTCAAGCCAAGTGTATTTATTTGCATAAGGTTTAAAATTTTTGCGGTTAGACCAAAGGTTACTAGTTTTGTCCTGAAACTTCCTCTCAAATTCATAGATTGCTCGGCCTCGTTTTGGAAAGGCAAGTAGCTTATCTTTGCCTGCTGCCCCTACTCTCCCCCATCTATTGTAAACCATGAAGTGTCCACCAGCATCAGGTTCTACAATGAAGAGGCACCGATTAATACCAAATCAATGTCAAATGGATTAAAGAAAGGCATTTGCAGAAACAGTGATTTGCAGGACAAACCTAAAACCTGGATGATATAGAACTTATTGTTGTTGCTACCAACATTAGTCTGGTTCAAGGTGGCATCATAGATCTGATCACCCTGTAGAAAAACATGCAAAGTATAATATTAAAAAACTGAAACAAAGAAAAAAAAAAACACTGGAATTACAGATTCCATCACAAGTTCTATTCTAATGGCCTTTCAGGTTGTGACATAACTAGTCCACAATGTCCGCTTGAAGACGATCAGAATGTGCATGAGGGAATGAAGCGGGCATTTAATGAATATTGGCTTTGGCATAAGTTCAAATTGATATTTTGATATTTCTTCTGGCGGGGATGATGTATTGCTATAAATTTAAATGTAACTAATGTGCATGAAAGGTAGGAACTAAATAGAGCATGGCTGAAATTGAAGTGCATGCACAGCCAAGGTAAACAAAGGTACAAGGAAATAAGAGGTAAAAAAATGAATGAATCCACACACCACTTGCAAGACATGATAGGCCTGTTTTATGTGGTCAGGAATGTGGTGATCCAGCACAGCAGCACCCTTCTTTGTGGCAGTAACCATCTTCCCATCACCACCTGTACCAATCGTCTATGAAAAATAAGCCCGATCCCTCTGTTTTTACACAAAAGCTGGTACGATAAAAAAAACAAATAGTAGACCAACTTATATAACAGAAGTATACCGAGAGACCTTTTGTGACTTTATTTCCGTCTTGGAGTTGGAGACCATCATCTGAAACAGCAGCAGCACCGGCTGCCGCCGACAGCAGCCTCGCGGGGTGGAGGCGATGAAGTGGGACCGCGGGAGGAGAATGGCAGGTGGGCGGGCGGAAGGAGGAGGAGCGGAGTTCAAGATTTTGGGTCGCTCCAGATAGGGTTTTTGGGTAGGTTGCCGGTGCCGGGTTTAACGTTCTTGGTGGAAGAAGGGAACGACGAACAAGTTCGGCGGACGAGCGGAACGTCGAAAAGAATTTTGTGTACGTCTTTGTCGTCAACATCGTCTCTATAGCGATTTAGTAGGTCGTAGAGGCTCTTCTTCCTTTGCTGCCGGAAACAAAGAATCAATGAACAATTCATATAATATATATAAATAACAAATAAAAAGAAAAAAAGAGAAGAAATCGTGTTGACGTACAATTTGGAATTGCAGGAACTCCCCGCACTGCTTGCGCAGGAACTACACTACCAGACGAAGCAGCAAAAGGGTATCTCAAAGCATGTATATCGTGAAAAAAGATGGCCTAGGTTCGGTAGAAACTAATCTACGTGTGATAATAATAAATAGTGGAAAAAAGAAGAGAAAGTATCGGATTATTTATAGGGTACCAGGTGTTTGTGTCTGTGTAGGACTCTTGTATCTATATTACTCAGCAACATCTCACGGTTTTTTATTTCCAACTAGGGGAAATGCAGTGCGACACGCACGTGTCTACGAAATATTCATGTATAAATAAAAGAATAACAATAATAGACTTAGATCTTAAAATAAATATATAAACTAATAAAAGTTATCAGTCTAATATATATCAAATCATGCTAAGACAAACGGTCAATGTCACATAGAATTCCAAGATGCATTACTTATAATTATGAACAATTTTTCTTTATTAATATAATGCAAACTATTGATACAACACAACATAGAGTATATTCTTCTACATAGCCTTGCATGTTCAACGCAGTCCAAATTATCATGCTTGGAATAGCTGTCGTGTCTTGCATAAAATCAAGAAACATATAGATTACCAGTAGTATTGTTGCTTTCGCCAAATCACAATCTTCACTCTTAACCTCATGAATGACAACTCACATATGAAGCAACCACTTGGTTGCAGAGATTCAATAAAATCAACTCCGAATGATTAATATGCCGTTACAATTACAAATAATAGAAGCAATGGCCAGCCCTACGTCATCCACTCGTGATAGCCAATAATGCAGAAATTAAACAGGAGAAGAAAGGAAGCAACCAACCCAATATTAAGTGATGTTGGCGATGCTTTGCCGGGGATCGAAACTCGGTCACTTACCTCTTGCCCCTTGTTTAACCAACGATCTGATGTCCCGTTCCATCCACAACGGATATCAAGCATACGATAGTGGCTCGTCTGAAAACCATTAGAAATTAGTTAGTATTTATTCAATATAGAAATAGATCAAGCATTACTTTTTTAATCATACCACAGGTCAGAAACATATAGATTACCGGTAGTATTGTTGCTTTTGCCAAATCACAATCTTCACTCGGTAGTATTGTTGCCTCATGAACGACAACTCAAATCTGAAGCAACCACCTGGTTGCAAAGATTCAACAAAATCTGTTCCGAATAATTAATATGCCAAACCAGTTAGCATATAATTACAAATAATTTAAGCAATGGCGAGCCCTACGTCATCCTCCTGGTGATAGCCAATAATGCAGAAATTAAACAAGAGAAACAAGGAAGCAACCAACCCAATATTATGTCATGTTGGCGGTGCTTCGTTGGGATCAAAACTTGGTCACCTGCCTCCGAGGCGATCAGATGTCCTATTTCATCCACAACGTAGGAAGCATATGATGGAGGATCGTCTAAAAACCATTACAAACTAGTTAGCATTTATTCATTTTTAAAATCGATCAAGCATTATTTTTTTAATCATTATACATCAAGCTAAACCAAGATCACGAAGATCAAATTATTTTCCCAATTATTACTTGACTCATTCAAAAAATTCCATGCCTCGATGCTTTTCTCGTGTCAAGCCAGTTCAAAGCTCAGTATCACTGCAACATGAGAGTCATGATGTCACCACTCACCACATAAGAAGAGACTGAAATGTTACTAATAAAAGGATGAAGCGTTTGATCAAAGATGTATGTTAGGACTATAGGAGGATTGATAGAAGTTTAGGATCACCTAGTTGCAGATCTAGTGGGTGTATACTTGAATTTAGAACATGGCAAACCCTAGAACATAAGCTAAAGCGAGAAACACACACACACACACACACACACACACACACACACACACACACACACACACACACACACACACACACACACACACACACACACACAGAGAGAGAGAGAGGGGGGGGTGGTCTTCGAGGAAGACAAGCTAGCCATGATGGTGCTTGTCGGTGACATGGTGAAGTCCGGCGGTGAAAGCCAGTCCTGATGTGGCGGCGGTGCAGAGGCGGCAGTGGCCGGTGGCGGTGCTTTTCGTCGCTGGTAGCACCCCCTCTCTAGATCGGCTAGGGTTAGGATGTAGGTGGGGTGTCTGGCGGCTTAGGTCTCGTACCTTGTGCCCCGGTCCCCACCTCTCTTTTATGGCGCTGTGCGATGGGGCCCACCAACCATAGAGCGGTTGGGCGTCCCCGATCAGGGCGTGGATCTAAGGGCCCAATTGGCTGTTGGGCCAATTGGTGGAGATCAATCTAACATTCTCCCCCTTGATCCCACCTTATGACTTAAACTTAACTTACTTACTTTATCTTGTTCCCATTCCATCACAGATCAGTGCATTGAGCGTGCCTCATCGTCACGGTCAGTTGCTATTAGATTAAACAGCTACAATGCACCTCTCTATTTTGAAACAGATTATCAACTAGACCCTCATTGTCCAGGAATCATAGGCTTTCCCTTAAACCCATGCTGGCTAAGTGTTCTCTGAACACGCTGGGTGGTAAACTTTTTGTAAGCGGATCCGCGAGCATCTTTTCTATTCTTATATGCTCAAGACTAATTATATAATCCCAGACTTTATCTTTCACAACATAATACTTTATGTCAATGTGTTTGGCAACACCACCTGACTTATTGTTGTGAGCATAACATACTGCTAGATTATTGTCGCAGTATAACTTGAGTGGCTTATGTATGTCGTCTACCACTTTCAACCCGGGCATGAATTTTTTCAGTCAATTCACCTACCCTGTGGCCTCATAACATGCTACAAACTCGGCATACATTGTGGACAATGTAGTGATGGTTTGCTTTGAGCTTTTCCACGATATAGCTCCTCCTGCGAGAGTGAATATGTATCCTGACGTGGACTTTCTATCATCTCCCGTATAATTAGAATCTGTATACCCCTCTATGTACAAGGAATAAGATCTTCTATACGTTAGCATGAGACCCTTCATACCTTGCAGGTAATGCAAAACTTTGTTTACTAATTTCCAGTGTTCTATTCCTGGATTACTCTGATATCTGCCAAGTAACCCGGTAACAAATGCTAAGTCAGGACGAGTACACACTTGAGCATACTGTAAACTTCCGACAGCTGAACTATATGGAATCGCTTTCATTTGATCGATCTCATATTGGTTCTTGGGACATTGAAATTCCCCATATCTATAGCCCTTGACTAGGAGAGCAGGTGAAGACTTACAATTTTGCATACCGTATTTTTAGAACTTTTTCTAAGTATGCCTTTTATGATAATCCTAAATCCCCTTTTCTCTATCTCGGTGAATCTCTATTCCTAGGACGAACGAAGCTTCACCGAGATCTTTCATATCAGACTTTAAGGACAATAACTTCTTTGTTTCTAGTAGTAGATTAACATCACTGCTAGCGAGCAAGATGTCATCCACATACAAGACTAGAAAAATGTATTTCCCATTCTTAAACTTTGCATAAATGCAATTGTCCTCTATATTTTTTAAACCCAAACTTTCTTATTGTACTATCAAACTTTAAATACCATTGTCTTGAAGCTTGTTTTAATCCATAAATGGATTTCTTTAGGCAACATCCCATATGTTCTTTTTCTTCACAATAAAACCTTTCGGTTGTGCCATGTAAATATTTTCCTTTAGATCCCCATTTAGGAACGCCGTCTTTACATCCATCTGATGTAATTCTAAATCGTAATATGCTACAAGTGCTATTATGATTCTAAAAGAATCCTTACATAAGACTGAAGAAAATGTCTCATTATAATATATACATTCTCTTTGTGTGAAGCCTTTCGCCACAAGTCGTGCTTTAAATCTTTCTACATTCCCTTTGGAGTCATGTTTGGTTTTGTAGACCCATTTACAGCCTACTGTCTTAGCTCATTTAGAAATTGTTTCTAGGTCCCAAACACCATTGGTTTTCATTGATTTCATTTCATCTTCCATGGCTCTAAGCCACTTTGATAAGTGAGCACTTCTCATGGCTTCTTCAAATGAGGTGGGATCACTCTCCATTTGAAATTCCTCACATTCATAAACTTCGTAATCTTCAGGAATGACTGATCTTCTGACTCTTTGAGACCTTCTAGGGGCCTTGTTAGATGATGCTTGTTCTATTTGAGGCTGTTGTTGCTCTTCCTCATGTCTGACAAAGGGTTCTATGGGATCCTGAACGACAGGTTCCTCATATTCATTCATTGTTGTCATAGGAGAACTAACAATAGATGCTGTTACTAGTGTCTTGCACTGTTGGTACAATAACATCAGGTAGCGTGAAGAATGGTTCATGAACCATCGTAGTGGGCACGTATACCCGCTTCTCTTTAAAATTAATTTTTCATGCTACCATGCTCCTCCTGATCATATCATCCTCTAAGAACACAACATGTCTTGTTTCTACAAACTTCGTTTGTTTGTTAGGACAATAGAAGCGGTAACCTTTTGACTTTTCTAGATAGCCAATGAAATGGCAACTGACTGTTTTGGAGTCTAGCTTGCCTATGTTTGGGTTAAAGACTTTAGCTTCAGCTGGACAACCCCACACACGTAAATAGTTAAGTGAGGGTTCCTTTCCTGTCCACAACTCATACGGTGTTTTGGGCACCGACTTACTTAGCTTTTCGATTAAGAATATGAATTGTGGTTTTAACGCCTCCATCCATAAACTTATCGGCAGAGTAGAGTAACTTATCATGCTTCTCACCATATCCATTAAAAAGTGCGGTTGTGTCTTTTAGCTACTCTATTACGATGAGGCTGCTTGGGTGTAGAATCTTGGGCAACTATGCCATTTTTCCGTAAGAACCTTGCAAAGGGTCCGAGAAGGCCATAT